ATTGATTCTTTCTTATTATATCAATGTAACTACCTCTTAAACTTCCATCGATCATGCCTCTCTACACTACTGTCAAAAGAATCCAACTCCTAGTTATCTTCATTTCATTTAAGCTCTGAGTCTTTAGCTTTCAATTATATCTTAAAATCCTTTAGATATTCCAAAAGTAATAGTTTGTATAATTCCAAAACACTTTCAATTTGACCTTATAGTAAAGGTTTTACTTTATTATGCTTCAAAAGATACTTGAAAAAACCTGGAATATCTACTCAAATCATATTCAATACTTGCATATTTTAGAATGTTAATGATGCTACTTCATGATATCTATCAACAATGTAATACCTTGCTTAAGTACTATAAAAAAAGCTCATATTGATAACATCAAGACTTTCAATTATCCATTAGATATTCTTTTACTAGTATTATTTTTATCATAGCTTATTATAAGAAATATAATCTCATGCCAATAGATATTAGTTTTATCAATGTTAGTTCTTTCAAGATCAAATCCATTGTTCGTGTTTAGTATTAGAAATTAAGTATACATGAAAAAGTGTTGAAATCTTTATGCCCTCCTTGTTGTTATTATAGAATATAAAACAATCACTTTTATTTTTACAATAACTTCTAAGATTATGATATCACTTTAATATAATTCTTGTACTTCTCTTTGCTTTAACAATCCTAGGAGCCCATATATGTAGTTGATCTCAATAATTGTGTATCTTCTAGTATTGTTTATTCTTTTTAGTTGGACTCTCACATTTGAGACTATGTTTGATTCAAATTCCTAAGACTCTTTGTATTTGTAATAACATAAATTTTTGCACTAATATGTTATCTTAATGAAATTGTGGTTTTGATGTATATCTTTGCAAATATTTAGAACTTTTAGTAATTGACCTTAAAGCCTTCAGAAGATTCTATGAAAGATTTTAAATTTTAAGTAAAATAGTAATAGAAAAATAAAATATAGATAAGGATAGATAACATATTTTCTTATATGACAAAGAATAAACATTCATGAACAGATTTTTCATAACAGCACTTACAAAATATAAAATTCCATTTAAAGAAGTAAAAACAAATAGAACATGTTTATTTAAGATATAATTATTTTTATCTTATTGATTAAGAAAACTTTATAAATTTTTTATATTATTATCTCATTAAATCAAAATTCAATGTATACACCAATAAGTTCTTTAAGAGATTTCTATTGTAACTTTGTTGTCTTTGCACTCATTTTCCTATAATAAAGAATAATGAGAATTAAATGAATATAAAATCAATAAAAAACTCTAGCATTTTTTAAGAGAAAAAACTTGTGTCTAGAAGAATATTGATGTAAGTAATAATTTTAACTATACAATGCTAGAATATTAATGAATCTCAAAAAAATGATTTAAAATATAATTCTAAAAATTTTGAATAAATTGATATTGCATGATGATAATTTTACAAGCATGAAGACAAACTAGAACAAAATAATATTGCATAGTGACGCCTACCATAATATGCTTTTTATCTTAAAAACATCTTGAAACAACAATGCAATTTCAATTAACATTGCAATTAATATCTCAATTAATCTCAATTTTGATTCACTTTTGATGAAAACAATGAAGCATTTAGTAAATCAAAGAAGATTTTTGCCTTTTCTTGTTTATCTTATATATTCCTTCCCTTCTATATCCTCCCTTGAATTATTTTATATAAGAGATATGTATAATCTTACATTAAATTAACATGTTTAAAATTTAAATATTTTATTTATTTAAATTATTTTCTATTTTATTTCTCTTATTAAAAAAACTCAAAAATATTTGTTGTATATATGTACACTTCCAATATTATAGTATTTTTTTAATTAATTTTTTTATCATATCTTCTATTTTTAATATTAGATTTTTTTTTTCTTTTCTAACTTCTTTTCTCATTTATTCAACATATTGTTCTATGATTTTCTTTTTCTTCTTTGTTGTACAATCACTTCATTTATTCTGTAATCTTATCTAAGTTGAGTATTTTATTCAATAGCTTTACATGTTTTTGATGTACAAATATTTCTTTTAATCAAATTCAAAATTTTATTCTTTTGTAGTTTTATTTATAGTTTTATTTATTTAATTTAAAAAATATTACATTATAGTATTACTATGTTTTATTAATTTTTTATATATCACATACTAATTCTAAGAAAATATTCTTCAATATTAAAAATACATTGGTCAATAAGTAAAAATGATTAAAAAAATAAAAAATTTAAATTATTTTGAATAATATAATTATATAAAAATACCATTAAAAATAAATATATATTTATATTTAATAGAAAATATACTAAAATATGTGATTTATTAGATATAAAATATATCTATCTAATATTTAAGGTTTCTTGAATTAATCTATTTATTCTTAATCAAATATTTTTTAACATATGATTTTTCTTAAATTTTAATTAATTCTATTTAATTTAATTTTTTTTGAATTGATGTTATAAATATTTTTTAAAAATTTTATAAAAGTTTTTGTAGTAAAATCAAAATAAAATCTAACTTATAAATATCTATAATTTTTTATGAATTTTTAATAACATCTCTAATTACAATCATAATTAAGGTTTGATTAAGTAAATTTGATTAAGCAGATTTGATTACTACAAAAAAAAATTTAAAAATTAAAATCAAATTCAAATAAATAAAAACTATCAATAATGATAAAACATAAAACTTCACTCACTTAAATTGAGTTTGTAACATCAATTAATAACAAAAAGATCATAAATTTCTTAGAAACATGTAACTTGCTATTATATGTTCATACTTTTGCATCTCTTCAAATAAAAAAATAAAAAATCAATATATAAATAATAGACAAAGAATAAGATAATAAAAATTTAGATTTTCTAGAAGATGAAATCATCTTTAAAAATAAAAAAAATAAAAATTATAGCATCATTGTTGCTAGTCTTCTAAACTAGGTTCTTAGTTTTAATCTATTTAAACCTATTACACTTATTTTCATAGGGAGCAATGATCATGAATACCATCTTCAACATCATTTGGCTGACAATAGTCATAGTACATGTACTCACTTAAGGGCATGGCCACTGTCGTTGCCAATTGTGGTGCCAATGGTTAGCAAAGCTGTCCCGATCTCATAACAAGCTCCACCATAGCCTGTTCTTTGGTCCCATCGAGGCCAATCCTAGTAGAATGGAGCATTTCTCCAATAACTTGCTATTGAAATTGCTCTATCATGGCAAAGTTAGGGCTTGGAGTAGGAGGGGCAATTGGAGATGGCCTTAGCTTTTATGAACCATTGGACAAGATAGTTGGTAGAAGCTACTTTTCTCTTTTTTTTATTATGCAAGGAGGCTTTTCATAAGGAGGAGAGCTAGGAGTAGAGTCCTTAGAGAGCCAATATAGATTAGATTCATGGCACCGAATGTGGCTTCTACTAGCCACCCCACATTGTGAATAAGGACTGCCTTTAAGGCCACCTTAAGTAGTGCACCATGTATCCATGGCATCCATCTGTTGGCCATCCTTGTTGGCACCAATGATTGGCAATACTCTAAGTTAAGTCTTTTAATTAAAAAGTCAATTATCATATAAGAAAATATTGGATTGAATCATAGATTGTAAATAAAACAAATAAATTTTGTGTCAAAATTCTTAGTATAAATATACAATACTTTTAAAGAATTATAAATAAATAAAAACAAAAAAAATGATGATGTACAAGCTTGTTAATATATATATATATATATATATATATATAGTTCTTTATATAAGATGTTATGTATATTGAAATCCATGTTCTATTTTTTTTAAGAAAATATTCATAAGAAATGTTTATCTAAAACTAGATTATAAATTCCATTAATATGATTTTTGTTAAATAAAAACTTTTTAAGAAGCAAAAAATAGAAAAATAAAATAAAAAGTAAAGATGTGCACCAAAAATAAATAAATTCATGCATTGGAAAAAAATTACAAAAATATGTACTTTTTTCTCAAGTTTTTAAATAAAAAAAAAAATTACAATTAATTGCATGTAGATAATGTTATCTTCTTTTTAAGAGTGTTTTTTTTGTTTTATGACCAAATGACAAAACTTTGTTTAATATTAAGTTGTGAAATTGTCATAATGTTCATTAAAATGTCTTTGAAAGCCAAGCCCCCACCTCACAATTTTGATTGCAATATAATGCAACCACATCGTGTTCTAGAGAGCTATATAGGGTGCTTGAAGTGATTATATAAATGTCAAAAAAAAAAAAAAAAAAAAAAAAAAAAAAATCTTCCAAGTTAAAAATACTATTGGAATTGTACACATCTTAAAGCACACTCTTCTTTCGTTTTAGGAACATTTTCATGAAAACCTCCTGTCTTTTCAAACTCCTCACTTCCTGTAAAGTGCATACAATATCAAGTTTATCTCACTTGATTGAAATACATGTTTTCTCTTGGCCAATGGCATGGATTATGTATCTCAGAGATATATTAACAATCAAACTAGAAGCATAATCTAACATTGTTTGGGTATTAATATGTTGATATGTATGTACATATATTGGTATGTCACCAAAGTTAAGCAATCGCTTCACCAGCACCGCAATAAGTTAACACACACGTCGGATCTCAAAGACACAGAAAGTGGGTTCGCTTGCGGATCTTTGCATAGAACATTGTTTTCATTTTACTTAACATTTTGTCTTGCTCTCTCAACCTTGGTTCCGTGTCTTCCTGCATTGGTCGCTGTCAATTCTCACAGATTTTCCTGTGAAAAGTGCGATTCTATCACTTTGTGTTTGCACCGAAGAGCCTAAGTTGAGATTGATCGGTGTTTTCTAGCTTGATGACAGCAGAACTCATCTTTGAAACGTCAACAGTGAATCTCTCCACACAATAACAGCTCTCGATAGAGATAAGCCAACAAATGTGCAAGAGAATTGTGTGCTTGAAGAGATCGTTTCGTAGATCGAGAGAAACAGATAATAAGTCTATTGTTACTGAAAGAGTTGAAGATATGGAACTGTCTCAGGCACGGTAACAAAGGCGCTTTCTGAGTCCACTCCATCGACAATTACAGGATTCAATTAACACCATTAAATGAAGTTCCATGCTTGCAGAGGTTACCAGTCCAGACACGGAGGCGGAATGTAGAGGTCGAAGAAATACTGTACAGGATCATCGATAATAGTACAAACCAGGAAGCAAGGGGAACTTAATTTCCATGCTAATCTTTCCGAATTTGAAGGGATGCCACTAACAGAGCGGCATGCCATCCAGTATAAACTACCTAATGAAATCTTTACATACAGATCGAGAGGAGCAATCGTTCATGGATCATAGAGCTGATAAGAGCGTTGAATATGTGTGTCACAAAACTTGTGGGGCTGTGTTCACTTTACTTGCTCAGACCGATTCTCCCCAACGCCGATCCTCGCCAGCCTCTCAACAGAAATCTTACTCACCCGCTGCCGAAGCTTAACCCTGTTGTCATGAATGCGCCGCAGGCCGTTACCGACGATGACTAGCGAGTAGAGAGTATGCGTAATAATTGGCGCCAGGATGTTGCCCGTGTGCATCCACTCAAATCCCAAGTACATCGCCAGGAGGCTTTCCATGAGCGGGGAGTATATCTTCTTCTGCTGTCGCCGCTCGTACCACGCCGACACGCGCTCTTTGATGTCAATTCGGTTGTTGCGGCCTCGCACAACCGGCGCAACCACATACTTGGGGTCTTTCGGCGACGAGATCACGTAGTACATGGATCCGGTCAATGCCGCTGTGAGAGCCGTGGCGAAGAATTGCGCGAATGGGACGAATAGGGGGATCACGCCTGTCAGAGCTGCGAGACCGGCTGTGGAGTCCGTGACACTCTTGTCGCTCATTTGGAGCGCATGCGTCAGTCCGCCCTGGATAGCCACTCTGAAGAAGAGCTCTTCCGCCACGGCTCCGGCGGCCACGACGAAGGGAAATTGCCATGGCGACATGCCCACGAAGAAGTCCATGAGCTCCTCGTCCTCGACATCGCGAATCGCCCGTGCGGGTCCCCACGATTTCACGATTTCGTCCTCGAGGATGAATAGCAAAACCATCATGGGAGGGACGGCGTATCCGAAGCCGGTGGTGATCACCTGGGGGGAGAGTTCGAATCCGCCCCAGAGATCTACACCCGTGAAGCTACAGATAACACTCCCCGCAAACGCTAATCCTCCATACATAGCCAAGGAATACACAATTCTGAACACCATGCTAATCTGCCCCCAACTGGCCTCCGAGTCGCTCAATTGGTTTGACTGGCTGAGATCTACATTCCAGTCCGCGCCCAGCGCTTGCATGTCACCCGCCTTGCCAATATCCTCGGTTTTATCCGTCATATCCTGACCCCCTGTGCCTAACGCCATCACAGGCAATAATATCCCATGGCCTCCAGTGCTGCACCCATCGGCGAATTCAAATCTAGAGCTGGGCTCTCGCTTCCGAGGTAACAAGCGAGAGCTTCGACTGAGTAGAGGCAATACCATCAGCCCTCCATTCCTATTCAACCTTCCTTGGCATTGAGAACCTCCCCCAGAGCACGACCCGCGTGACGACGACGACTCGTCCAATCCATTCACACTCAACGAGCTAGAATTACCGCCCCCATCCAGTCGACTCGAGCCCGCTCTGAACGACGATGCCTCCACGTGCAGCGAAATCTGTGCCCCCGACGACGAAGATGATGACGACGCTCCCACACTCCGAAACAGCCTATCCTGCAACCCAATCACGCGGAACGGCGGCATGCTGCACGAAACCCCAATCTCACTGCAAATCTCTCGCCCACACCCTCAATTACCACCCGCACACACAGTCAAAATCCCGGTTTTCGAACACCCATCGACCCTGATAACTCAAACTCCACCCCCACACACACACTCACACTTCCTCACCCACCGGTTCTAACACGCTTCACAGATCCCCTGTGTTAGAATCACCCCGACAAAAACGTCTAAAACCTTCACGCCAGCCACTTTCTACTCTCTCTCGCTTTCCTCTGGCTCGTCTACAGCGATCGGGGAGGTGTGAGTCGCGAGCATGAAAACACCGCTCACGACGAGCGGTGAAGCTGTGGAGCTTCATGGCCACACAGCCCAGAAGGGGATATCGTTGTGCTGTGTGGCCAGATGAAAAAGGGACAATCTCCGCATCTCACTTGCTGTCCAGATTTCACCCTCCTTCGTCTCGCGCATCTCGTCGCGGCCTCGAGGCCACGCATTGGCCTGTTCACACTGTGGTGTGCGTGAGGCTTGTGGACGATAGTTAGTGGATGAGAAGTAAATAAGGATGGAAAATGTTAAACTGGGTCTGTGGGGAGGTTTAGTGGAACCAAACGTGATTCCTGTGGAGGTGTTCTGTTGAAGTTGTTCGATGATTTTGTGTCCATAGTTTAAGGATCGTGTCCGATTTTGTACTGAATTGAATCAAAACTATTGTGGTCGATTTTTATTTTTGCTCGAGGAAATGTTTTCAGTTTCGTAATTCGTGATTTGAAACGCTATTTGTATGCTATAGTGTATTTGTGCTGAACTGCTTTTGGAGTTTACTTTGGTGGGTTTTGTTTTGTTTTGTCTGTTTGTTTGTTTGTTTTTGTTTTTTTTTTTTTTTTTAGCATTTGGATTTTGGTTGTTTTTAATATGTGTGTGCTCTAAATGAATGAATAGTTGTGAACCAATAATGGGACTTGATCAAAATTAGAATAATACATAGGTAGACCTAGAGTTTATGTATAGTGAGTTCTATATAAGCATATTTAATATGAGTATCAAATGTGTTTTTTAATTTTTTAGTTTAAAAAAGAAAATTGAAAAATTTGATTATTGATAATTCATTTTGTTGTCTGTAAGGAAGTGATTTTTATCATACAAATTAAAACACATTTCATATTAAATCCTTCGAGCAACACAACAGATATTCACTCCAAGCTAAAGCTTATCTACCACGTTCAATTTTTTTTATGCATTATAAAACAAGTGAGAGGAAACATATATGCATATTCAACAACACTTGATGCAATAATTATGACTTCTAATATATTAATAACAATACAAACATTATTCCAACTAGTCATTACTAAGCTGCAGATGGTTGAAACTTTGTGCAAAATTCTCTGAGAATTTCTCACGACCTATTTTAATGGGCTCCTCCAACAGATATAAATACATGATAGAATCATTGCTTAATACCTTTCTTTAATACTCTGGAAGTAAAGCTTACCTTGAATGTAGTGCAAAAAAAGCTTTGGAGTAGTCGTTTGATAAAAATTTAGATGAAGCAAGAGAGGTTGCATCAGCTAACACATTAGCAACATTGCTTGATGTACTCTCTCAGTCTTATCTATATAATCAGCATGTGAATCTATCAAGGACATGAATCTCAAGGGAAAAAAATCCTTAATACATTCATGTATCATTAAAAGGAACTAAAAAGTCACTCAAACGTGATATAATATTGAACTAGAATGGCTATTACCAAAAACAAGAAGACTGGAAAGACTTAGAATAAGACTAAGAACTAGAAAGGTGTTGATAAGAATGAAGAAGGCTTCACTCTTGCCTCTATATTTACTTTCTAACTAAGAGCTATATGGCAATATCTTGTAAGACTTCCAATATATGTTGACTTTGTTAGCCATGTGTCTTAACTTATAAGAAAAGTTATTTATGATGCGCCACATAGTAAGCTAGTTCCACAAGCTACCAAGATGTGGTTAATTTGTTGTCCAAGTTTTTAACCTACAAATATATCTAAAGTCAAAATTGCATCTATGAAGCTTATAAGAAGCTTCTCTATAAGACTTTATGAAATTAATCTATATTTATCTACTTCTATCTAATCATAAAAATAACTATTAAAATAAATGTATATGTCCGTGATATTACTCTCCCTTCTTAGGACAAGTTCCATGAGGAGTGGTCATTATCTTTCATACATCTTGCAATTCTTCATCTTAATTTTGATGGATGTCATCATTAAAAGGCTTCAACCTTTTTTCTTGCATTTGCAAGATTCTTTGCTAGCTCTTATGTACATTCACTAATATCATATCTGTGCCAATGAACAAGATATTCTAATCTATTTTGGTGCTACCTTGAATCTAAGTTTTCTTCCATTTCAAACTCTTGATTATTATCCACTTTTATAGGAGGAGGTGGCATTTGTCTTCTTCTCAAAATATTCATTGTTTTATATGGCTTAAAAAGAGATATATGAAATACAAGGTGGATCTTTATAGACTTTGATAGATATAATCAATAAGTAATAGGATTGATTTGTTCACAAATAGGAAAAGGTCCCAACCTACGATAGTCTAACTTATCACAAAGACGAGTAGTCTTGATATTACCATGAAGTAACCATACCTTATTAGCGACATTAAATTGTGGTTACTTTTTGCAATAGGCATCCGCATTGGTCTTTTGTTGGTCTTGAACTTCTTTTAATTGTGTCTTTATTGTTGCATATAGCTCTAACAAACAATTTGCTAAATCTTTTGCCACAGGATTATCAACTTTTGAAAAGTCAAAAATATCAAGTCATAGATGATAACCATAATTGGCAAAGAAAGATGTTTATTGAGTAGAAGAATGTACTGAATTATTATATGCAAACTTTGCTAATGAAAAAAGAGTTGCTCAATCATCTTGTTGATAGTTAATGATATACCTTAAATAATACTCCAAAATTTGATTCACTCGTTCCATTTACTTATCAGTTTGAGGATGAAAAGATGAAGAAAGTTTTATATCCACCTTTAGAAACTTGAATAGGGTTCTCCAAAAACTTGATAAAAATTGAGTCCTTTTATTTGATATAATATTCTTTGGCAATCCATAATAGCAATAGATATTATCAATAAAAAGCTTAGCTATTTTTTCATCTAAAATAGATTTTGTACATAGTACAAAATGTACCATTTTAGTGAAGCAATCTATGATTACAAATATAGAAACATATGAACTTGAACTTAAAAGATTTGTAATAAAATCCATAGAAATAAAAGATCATGATTTTTTGGATATAAGCAATGGTTGGAGAAGTCTATAGGGTCAATAATGAGGAATATTTGATCTTGAACAAATGTCACATGACTGAACAAAGTCTTTTATTGCCTTCTATATTTGCGGCCACCAAAAATCTCTAGATATAAGCTCTAAAGTCTTGATATATTCAAAATATCCTACTGCTAAAAAGATGTCCTTAAAGAATACATAAGCATGCTTCTCTTTTTGAAATATATAGGCATCTTTTAAAATAGAGTAGGTTGTTTTTGAACTTGAAATTTGAAACATCAAGAGACTTAGAAGAAAGATTCTTAATATCATGAACAAGAAGATTAGAGGACATATTTGATTAAATTTATTTGACAAAGGTTGAATCATTAATCAATGTTGATTTCATTGCTCGAAGATGAAAATGCTCTAATTTTAAGAAGAATATTCTTTATTGATCAAAAGATATGTTTCCTTCTTTTAGTATAAGATAAGAATATCTAAAAAGAACATTTAATAAATCTTACTGTTTTCCAAGTAGATATGTAATCTTGAAATCAAATTTTGATAATGACATGCTTTAATGAGCTTAGCAACAATTTAAAACACGTGCCAACATGAAATATTTGAAGTTCTTATGATCTGTAAATAGTGTGACTGGACTTGAAGCACCTTCTAGATAGTAATGTCATTCTTGAAATAAATCCACAATTGGAAGAAGTTCTTTGTCGTGGATCTCATAGTTAATTATGGCTGTTAAAATTTTTTTAGAATGGAAAGCTATTGGATGGAGTTTGTTATTTGTTTTCATTTGTGATAATACTGCATCCAAGACAAAGTTTTATGTATCTGTTTCCATAAATAATGCCTTAGAAAAGTTGACGCAATACAAAGTTGGTATAGAAGTAAATTCTTTCTTCAAAACAATAAATAATACTTCAACTTCTTTATTCCACTCAAGTTTGTCTTTACAAGTCAAATGTATAAGTGGAGCTGCAACTTGGGAAAAGTTCTTGATAAAGATTCAATAATAATTGGCAAAGCTCAAAAAGAATTGCACATCTCTTACTATTCTTAGCATCTTTCAATCTATGATAGTTTGGACCTTCTTAGGATCCATCATAAGGCCTTCATTAATAATAATGTATGTCAAAAAGTCAACTTGAGTAGTGTAGAATGCACACTTTTCTATCTTTGAATAAAATCTTGTATTTTTTAGTTTTTGTAGTATATGACAAACATGAACTTTATACTCTTTGTGTTCTTAAAATAGATTAAAATATTATCCAAATAATAGATAACAAAATCATCAAGAAACTGACAAAAGACATCATTGATTAGATGTTGAAAAGCAGTTGATATATTTGTGAGTCCAAAAGGCATGACATTATATTTGAAATATCCATACCTAGTTCAGAAAGTAGTCTTCCATTCATTTCCTTCTTTGATGCAGACCAAGTTATATATTCTTTATAGATCTATTTTTCTATAGATCTTTATTTGATTTAATTTTTATTAATTTATTTTTTGAGTGCAGTCAATTTTTTTTGTAATAGGCTATAGATTGGTCCAAATGGTGGTTGAATTCGTTCTTGAAGATCAATAGAATAATTATATGGACAATGCTTTGAAATAATATTTGTATTTTTTTTTAAAAAAAATATTCTAGAAATCTTGATACTGACTAAGAATACTACTTGATATCTTTTCACCATTAGTAATAGGCGTGGTATATATAGTAAAAGATGGTCTTTTATTTGTGGCATGCATAAAAGTTCTTACACATATGAATAATGATTTGGATATACAAGAATAATAGGTTTTTACTTGCCTAGTAGGACCTTGGACTAAACTATAAAAAAAATTAAGATTACCTTCATATAGAATTAGTACCTTTGTGATTTACATTGAAAATACATGAAATCTCCACTCTAAAAGTATTGATAAGCTCGTGAAGATCTTCAATAGTTGCAAATCTATTCTCATTTCCGTTGAAAGTAGCATCCATAATCTTTCCTTCTATAGATAATAATAAAAAAAAAAATCAAAAAGTTAAATTATAAGAGGGTAATCCGAAACCTCTAATGTCAAATGAAGATTTCCATCAAGAAGGGTAATCCACTTTCTTTTAAGGAAAAAA